TCTACATCTAGCCCCGGTATAATCAATAAATCTCCCTAATATTAGTTATTTTTGTTAACTTTTCTAGAAAAATTATAATTCGTATTCCCTCTATAAGTTTTGGAAATAAATTCACATTGTGTCTTTTATTAAATGGAAATTATCATTATTATTTTACCGGGTTGAATAAAAAATTAACTTCAAACGAATAATAAGAACTAATTTTAAGATATATTGAAAGTGCCTTAATTAAATTTGGACATTTGTAAGTACAAGGACTAAAATGGAATGAGACCCAAAGTGCATAATAAAAATATAGTATTTTCACCAAGCATAAGTAGTTTCCCACCAAATTAGGCATGAAGCGTTAGCTATGAATACTTTTCAATCATTGTTCAAGCTCCTTGATTCGTCAAACATTAAGTGGGTTTAACAACCTAAGGTTTGGAAATTTATTGTGCACCTGAATTTTGAAGTAATAGTTAAATCCTCGAGTAAGGAAAGTACAAAACAAGACTGGAAGGGATCTAAATGCATCCAAAACAAATTGGAACTGGGAACACCAAAAAAAATGAAATGATAGCTTCTAATAACAAGAATTAAGGAATTCGGATCTAACGCCCACATTCAGATTGAAATTTTTTTCAAACGGACTGTTTCAGTTAAGGAAATTTACATGATGAAAGAAAAAGGAATTAGATATCACTAAGTATACACAGGTTAAAAAATGTGAAAGTAACACCCATGCACTTCAAACTTCCATAGAATTGCTAAAGGAGAAAGTAAGAAAGAAATTATAAACTCGAATGAGCAGAACCTTACCCTCTTAGCAAATTCAAGAGTGCTTTCTTTTCCATTATACCGTGGTGAAATAATAGGAAGATATTCAACCTGGTCAGACAATAAAGTGTGACATTAACATTGCCTCAATAAAATGAAATGAAAACTTTGTAAACAGGTGAAGGATACAAAAAAGATCGGAAAAAATTACCTCCATGTAATTGTGAAATTGCATAAACATTCTAATCATGAGCTTTGGCAAAGAAACAAGTCCCCTAAACAAAATAGCATTCCCAAACATCATAGTAAGACAGAGAGTTGGCACCAAATAAACAATCAAATGAGGAGTAGACACCTACCATGATTGGTCAAAGTGTACATGAGGATAACGAACAACAACAGGTTGGATTGAATAACCAGGAAGGAAAGCACCAAGTTGAAAAGAAATGAGAGCCCTTCCATTCGTAGTGGTTCCCTCGGGAAATAACAGAACTCTTGGAAATCTATTACAAGAAGCCTTCCTCTGTTTTCACATCCTTGAAAGCACAGTTTTCTATCAAAAATCTTATCATGTTGATTCAAGTGAATCATCAAACAAGAAAAAGTGGGAAGAGAGATACTAAATAATTCATTCGTCGGTGTACTTGTAAATAAACCATGTCCTTAACTTTTAACCTCACTTTAAAAAACAATAATCTAACGAAACAATTAATGTATTATACATATAAAATATAATGTGACTTGTGAGTAATCAAATAAAGAGGTGTTAAAAAAGTTAGTTAGAGAATGGGAAACTGATTTTCCATTGTTTTAAAACTAGACCTAGATGATAAGAGCTCTTCACTGAGGCACGCACCACCCAAACAATGTTTTAAGTTCTAAAAAGAAATAAGAAAATGTGTTAGAAAACAACCTTACTTGAACAGAGGCTATGTTCTATAGGCTGTACAACTGTGTCTTTGAGTTCGAAGAAAATGTGTTACAAAAGCCCCCAATTCATTCAAAGGTCCATGGAAATATTGATCTTTTAAGGGAGTATGTTCATAGGAATATCACTTTTAAGGTTGACAATGGTTCCATTACTCAGTTTTCATCTGACCATTGGTTGGGGAATACGGTTGAGAGAAGAATACCCCTTATTTTTTGTCCTCATGCTCAGCAAAGAAACTTCCATACTCCCACAAATGTTATGATCACCAACTGAGAGGGTCCTTGGGAATGGATCAAAATGGTCTTTCTACAAAATCTTAACCCAGAACCCTTTCATCAATGGGTACTCAAAGTAAGTTCTTTATTTGGGAACTATGTCATTCATGTCCGAACACCCAAGACAGGCTCCAAATTAGATCATCGGGCATTTTCTTATCTCTTTCATACTGTTCTATGTGGACTAATGGTTTGGAAACACGCAGTCGTCTCTTCATTTCATGTCCTTTTACCAGATCTTTTTGCACTTTTATCTTGCAAAGTTTTGAGGTGGTCGTTGACTTTACCTACGGATCTTTTAAATATTATCCTTCTCGGGCATCCCTTCAAGAACCAAGAGACTCTTTGGCTCAGTTTCATACAAGCTTTTTTATAGTCTTTATGGCTCGAGACAAATTTGCGTATCTTCTCAGATACACAACAGGACTTCAAATCTTCTATGTCTTTTGTTACCTTTACTTCTCTTACATAGTGTGAATTGGTTTTACCCTTTTGTAGTTATGGTTTAAGCTCTCTTATAGCCCATTAGAAATGTTTTTCGTAATCCTTTGGATAAGACTCTCACTTTGTAATTTCATTTGATCAATGAAATTGTTTGTTTCCTATCCCCAAAAAGGAATGCAACTCAATAAACAATTTCTAATATGTTTTTCAATGCTAAACAACATGGAATTACATGCAAAGTGATGTGCGACTACATGTGAGAGTTACAGAAACTTTTTACCTTTATTTCACTAATGGCATGCTTCTTTGATGCAGGCGAAAATCTATCTACATAAATCACCTGAGAAATGTAAACAATAATTGAGAATTTTATTTTTCCACAAGAAACAGATATTATACCAGCAGATAGCTAATTAATTATGAACAATGTTTTAAAAAACCAAGCGCGCCTATGCCTTAGGCCCGGCCCCTGCATCTGGCATCTTTACTTGCAAACAGTTAATCGGGTGAAATAGGACATGAAATGACCTGCATGGCTCTGATGATGGTCCCGACAAAGGGTATGGAATCATGGGACTCAGCTGCGACCATAGTTGGAAATAACTCATAAAAATAAAAGATCGGTTCTATATATGATACATGATTCGACACAACAATTGGAGCAATTTCCCTGGGAGCAGGCTTCCCTTTTCTTGTTATCCAATGATATCTGAAAGAGAAAGACAAACAAATGAAAATCACTAGATTAGACAAATGATAGCAGTAGAAAAAGTTGTATCTCAAGGAAGAGATAAGCTATCAAACAGAGCTGGAAATCTATTTTCCACAAAAAATTACAACTATTTGGCATACCAAAATAGCATGGTAACAAATCGTAAGAGTACCTGATTATTTTTTCTCGTGTTTGTATTAATTGAAAGTATTAACACTCAAGATATGGAAAGAAACACGAACAGCCATGATTAAAGAGGGAGTACGAGTACCCTAATTTTAGCAAACAGAAGCATATCTCACCCAAAAGAAAACAGAATACACCGTCCGCAAAGCCTCGTAACCCCCATGAGTCTACACCTCCACTTAGGCATCGGATTCTCCTTATCCTTCCACCCATAAAGCGCCGTCTTGGTCGCTATATATCCAACTAAAAGACATAGCCCGAAGAGCACAAGACGAGCAAGCGCAATAGGTATGCAAACCACAATCTTAACCCACTCATACACCCCATCGATACTCGGCGTATTATTCCGAAATGGATCCACAGTGGTCATCTCGGGAACGGAGAATCCATCGGAGCCAAGAAACCCATACGGATTGCTAAAGCACAATCGAGGATCGTGATGATTGCCGTTCTGATTGTTGATCTGCACCGGTGGAACACCGTCGTCGTCTTCAATTCTGAGGATTACGTCCACACGGTCAGAGGACTCAGCGGGGAGCAGAGATGAGGTGAGATCGTGGTCCGCCATTGATGAGATGGGAAGAAGACGGAAGGGAGAAAGAGAGAGGACTGAAGAATGTGAAGTGGCCAACTGATGGAGGGTAAAATTTTATGGGGGCAAAATGGTCAATTGGTTTGCGGCGTCTGAGTTTGCGACTCGTCATTTTCCCGGAATTTATTTATTTATTATTATTATTATTATATAATAAACGAGATCCATCTTGTTAAGAAAACTAATATAGGCACGTGCATGCACGTGATCTCTCACTTTTTTTCCTAGTTGATGTTTTTTATTTATCCAAATATTTAATATTTGGCCATTTAATTCAATCTCAACAATGTAAAATTTCTTATTGAATTTTTCTCTCTCCTTTTTTAATATTAAATTTAAAAAATAAACAATTTAAATTAAAATGAATATAAAAAAAATGTATAATCACTGAATATTTGATAAATGGGAGTGATCAATTATATATAAATTTAAATTTTATGCTTAATAAATCTTTAATTTGTATTTAATAGGTCTATTAATTATAAATTCAAGAATTAAATAGAGTATTTAAAATGGAAAGATAAAATTTATAATTTAATAACGATTAAATTTGACCAGAAAAATGAAGAAACAGGTCGGGGGAAAGATGCCGAGGTGGTTGCTTACGTGGGGAGAGAGGCAGAGGCAGAGGCTTTTGGAGGCTCTGGGCGGCCACGTATTAAACCTTCCGACCTTCATTATCAAATATTATCTTAATGGACAGGTGTATTTATTTGTTTTTTATTCATAAATTTACGCATTTTAATTAGTAGTAGTTATAAAAACGGTATTATTAAACAATTAAGGGCCAACAGTTCATATCTATCTATCATAACTATAACCATAACAATAAAAAAATATATTAAAATTAAGAAATTAGTAAAACATGTTTAATGTTAAAAGATTTATTAAAATATGAAGTTGTAATTCACCGATCTAATAAGAAACAAACATATATCTCAAAACAGCTATATTATTAAATGCAGTAGTTAAAAAGATCGAACATTTTTGGATTTCTATATACCACTTACGTTAAAGATGTCAAAGTTCACGAGCAAACTCAAAGCTATCCGTCATGTGCAGCTTTCTTCGAGTAGAATAACAACAGAATGCACTGAAAAAGAGAGCAATAATCGTCTATAGACTGGACCTGACTACAAGAGAAGAACATCACAACATTTTCGTTGTCAAACCAGAACAAAAAAGGGAAGAAAATAAGTCGTTAGAGGGAAGTTAAGACTCGTGGGTTGCGATAACAAAAATTTGATAAGCCAATATAGGCGTAGAACAACTCAACATGAACATAGTTCCGCTAGCTAAAGTATACACCATTGTCAAAAAGAAAGTTAAAAGTTCAAACCTCTACGCTCTACAGAATTTTCACTCCCTTCTTCATGGGAGAACAGAAGAATGAGGAAATAAATGATATGAACAAACAATATGGGTCAATCTACAGCATAGTGCATTCGAATCATCAGTCCTTGGGATTTTGCTTTGCAGCTGCAATATTAATATGTAGCCTTAAAAACCAAATTACAGGCTCAAAAGATCATGATGTTTTGGTACAATGATTCAAGCAACCAAGGGACTAGTCATTATTACCAGATTGAAAGCCTGCATCGCAGCAATTGTTGTCAAAATTTTCATCGTCCTCGTCGTCGTCACTGTCGACACACTTCGTATTGCCATCAAAATCATCAAATGACTCTCTGACTGAAAGAAAACATTCCGATTCTGAAGGCTGGTAATCCTTGCCCCTCCACACTACAATCTGCTCCTTCTCAAACGTCACCAAGATACAAGGCACAAGGTCCTGATTTAAGAAGGATAGTTGATCGAAAATGAAAAGAATTCAAATTTTGGCACAATAAACAAATTTGAACGCCAATGCAAGATCCCACGAAACAAAAATCTTAGGACTTAAAGCCCACTAAGAACCTAAAGTAAGGCTATGTACTCTTCCAAGTTTCAATTTACTCTGTTTGCCCACCATGGAACTTATTGAGGCGTTTGAATAACAGAAGACACCCCACCCCCCCACAAGAAATAATTCTTCTGTAAAACATAAAATTCCTTTGGAATTGTCTAAACAGTCCACACCATTCCCCCTTGCATCAAGGTACACATGAAGAACAACACTCCTGGCATGGTAAGGGTCCTTCTTCCTTTCTTTCTATGATTTAAGAAATTTAAGAATAGTTATGTAAAGGCATGAGGGAAACGACCATTACCCGAAGCTTGCAGCCAATTTTCTTGTAATCACTCTTCTCAAGGCCTTGACAATCAATCCGAACCAACTCGCAGGAGAGAAAAGCATCTCGAACCATGGGTACCAAACTACCGTAGTAACCATTTTTTGCTAAAATCCACAGGCATGATGCGTTAGTCAACCGACTTTATGATGGGATGGTAATATTACACGAAACAAGCTTTAAAAAAAAGTTATCAAACACATACAAAGTCTTGTCAAAGCAGGAACAGCTAGTCCTTTCTTTCTCATTTCTTTTGTTTCATCAATGCTCAGTCCATCAATTGTAGTTTTAATCAGCCTGGGATAGATAGGTTCATGGGGTCTCCATAACATTAAGGGAATGAATGGCCTTTTCTTGGGATTATAGTTCCTCCCTCTGTATAGAACAAGAAAACCACCATGCCTATGAATGATCTTTCCAAAGGTTTTCTCCTGCAGGCATGGACAAACCTCGAATTAAACGTACACGAACAGGTGGGTGTGACTCAAAATACATTTTCAATACGATGAATGTAATTTGTGGAACAATCTCAATAGGTTAAGAAATGAAGAATTAAAACATTTGCCTAAAACTCCACCCAAAGAAATGAAACCCATACCTCAAGCTGCGTGCACACATTTTTCATATCAACAGTGGGAACACCTAAACATTTGATCCTCACTGCTTCGGCATGTTTCCAGTGATTATAGATATCATTTAACATATTGTGAGTTAAACCATCTCTTCCTACGAACGCATAGAAGTTACATAGTTAGAAGAAAATGCAATTATTCCAACGGAACCGTTCAATATAGTGATCGTCTTATAAGATTCCTCAGCAATTTAAGCACAGAAAATGAGATAATCTCAATATCCATGAAGCATCTATCAATTAGAAATGATGAGAAAACACCGTCCAATATCAACAATTTTATATGTGCAAATAATAGATTAATAGAACTTGGTATCACATACCCAAATTAATCTGCCTCTTTGTTTTCTTCTTTTGACACGTTTCCACCAAAGCCTTTCTCTCGGCTCCTGTCAGTGGCTCTCCTTGAATATTCTCCCACATGACCCTCCTCTTCTCTTCCAGTTTTGGATCTTCCATGCTCTCTAAAGAGCTCGCCTTCGGGTCCACCGCCGGGGCACACACCCCAGTCCATTTCCGGTCAAGCCGCCCAGGCCCAAACGGTGAAAACTTCGGTTCTCGAAGCCCGATAGGCCTCACCAAGCGGCTAGTCTCCGTGTAACTGTACTGGAAATCGAATGGCAAGTCTGAATGCTTTGGCTTCTTGTCAGCGAGATCGAGCGACGATGGTGGTTTGTACCGTGGTTTCAGTGGTTTGTTTTGCCGCGGTTTGAGCTCCGGCGGTGGGGGTTTAGGGGAGAGAGAAGGTGGGGATTCAAAAGCGTAGTGATCCCGGAGTTTGGAGTAGCAGAAACATCGATTGGAAGGTGTATGAGGATGAGCAAACGGAATTGGATCCTGGCGGAAGAGTCTGATAACGAACATGAGGTAGATTGCGCATGGATGAACAATGTCGCGCGACCGGGAAAGGGTTTAGGGTTTATCGGCGAAGTCGGTTTAGACTTTACAGAAATATGAAATTCGCGGTTTTTCTTTTTCCTTTTTTTATATTTTTTTATTGGTTAAATAACTATTTTACCCTTTATTTCATAATTTTTTTCTATTAGGTAGCGTTCAAGGCTTGGGTAATCCCGATTGGGCCACGATTTTAGGGCCCAAACCCGCGTGTATGAGTTTTTAGACAAATGGGCCTGAGCCCACTTTTCTCACAGGCTACTGGGCCTATTCAAATGGAATAGGCCCAAACATCCAAATTAATGAATAATTCTTATTTTCAATAAATTCAATAATATTTAAAAAAAAAATGTAATAAATGTTTAATATATTTTTTAAAAATTCAAAATTTCAATATATATTTATTTAGTTATTAACAATTAATCTCTATCCTCATTTTGTATAATCGGGATGTCTCTTTTACACCCTTCGAACACGGGAGCAAATTCTCCATTGAAAGGGGGACAAAAGATGACCATCTCAAGGCACAACACAACGTACAGGTAAGATCGATGAGACGTAGAAAGGCAACTCGTTTGGAAGTCATATGATCCGTGGTATCTACCGCCACCACGGACTGAATATTCATCGTTTTAGAAAGTAGTGGGTCTGTTTTTTGCAAAGAAAAAACGGAGTCAATTTGTCTTGGCACAATCTAAAGATGCATTCAATACCAATAATATGTGCACGAGTTTAGGTCAATAGACCTACTAGACATTTTTAAACTTATAAACAATACTCGATTGATCGAGACCGAGCAAGGGTCGATATTGGATGATGAATATGTAAAAATAATGGTTAACTAATCTATATTTGATTTTAAGAGGAATTTGGAAGAGGAGGAAAATAGGCTCGTGAAGTGATCTCCCGCCGAAACTTTCCTAAAAACGATTTAGGTTATCCAGTCAAAATACTCCCAACCTTTCACGCCGTAGAAAATGGCGTCGCCGGTTGAATCCCGCCGTCCCGAACTCCGCAAGGACTCTGTTACGAATCGTTGGGTCATATTCTCACCCGCACGAGCTAAACGGCCCTCCGATTTCCAATCGAAATCCCCAGCTCCTTCTTCTTCCGATCCTCCCCAAACGTGCCCCTTCTGCATCGGCCAAGAGCACCATTGCGCTCCCGAGATCTTTCGATTTCCTCCTCAAAACTCCGATTGGAAAGTTCGCGTCATTCAGAATCTATATCCTGCTCTCAGTAGGGACAAGGATCTCGATTCTTCGGCTTCCTTGAGCTCTGATTCTCTCGTCTGGGGTTGTCTTTTGGACGGCTATGGATTCCACGACGTCATTATTGAGTCCCCTGTTCACTCGGTTCACCTCTCTGATTTGATCCCCGAGGACGTCGCTCAGGTTCTTCTCGCTTATAAGAAGCGGATTCTACAGCTCGCAGGCGATGATAGCATCAAATATGTTCAGGTTCTTATTATTCTTTCTCCTTTCTTTAATTTTTTTCTCTGCATAATGCTCGTTTCTGGGGATTTTGAGATGATTTTCCACCTGATTTCTTCTGCGCTGTGCCATTTTCATTTCGTCGAACACGTGGGGTGCATCAAGATTTTGAATTGCTATCTGGTTTCATTCTGTTGATTCGATAGGTGTTTAAGAACCACGGTGCCTCAGCTGGGGCATCCATGACCCACTCCCATAGTCAGATGATGGGTCTTCCAGTCATTCCTCCCTCTGTTTCTACTCGACTTGATAGTATGAAGCAGTATTTCAATCAGACGGGGAAATGTAGCATTTGTCATGTTCCTACAAAGGACCTTTTGGTTGATGAATCAGTCCATTTCATTTCAGTTGTTCCTTATGCAGCCTCGTTTCCTTTTGAGCTCTGGATCGTTCCCCGTGACCATGTTTCTCATTTCCACGAGCTGGATCAGGAGAAGGTAAGTCAAATCTTAAACTATATAAGTTTGGCTCTGAGTAATATTATGTCTATTTAGTAGCTATATCCATTTTGGAACCTATCTTAAAGTGTTTTTTATTTGTGTCTAATAAGACTCATTAGTTATTCCAATTTAATGCTTACATCGTCAAATACTTGACTACTAAATTGGGTTAGACACAATGTGAGATCTCACATCGGTTGAACGAAACATAGCTTATTAGGGTGTGGAAGCCTCTCCCTAGAAGGCAGGTTTTAGAACTTTGATGGGAAGTCCGAAAGAGGAAGATCAAAGAGGACAATGTCTACTAGTTGTTGGCTTGGACTGTTACAAATGGTATAAGAGTCAGATATTAGCGAGGACGTTGGACCCCAATGGGAGTGGATTATGAGATCCCATGTTGGCCGGAGAGAAGAACAAAACATGGCTTATTAGGGTGTGGAAGCCTCTCCCTAGAAGACAGGTTTTAAAACTTTGAGGAGAAGTCCAAAAGAGAAAGCTCAAAGAGGCCCCCAATGGGAGTGGATTATGAGATCCCATGTTCGCTGGAGAGGAGAACGCAATCGTATTTATTAAGGTGTAAAAACCTCTCCCTAGAAGATGCGTTTTAAAACTTTTGAGAGAAAGCACAAAAAGGACAGTATCCATCCGTGAGCTTGGACTCTTACACACTTGAGAATTCGAAAATATTTGTAAAACATTTGAACTACATGAACTGGATAGGCACGACTTAGAACTTCAAGGATCAAACATATAATTTTAAGATAATTCAAATCATTACATTCATTTGATGACCACAACAAAGTATGATGCTGACTGATTCATGTGCAGTGCAGGCTGTTGACCTTGGTGGGCTATTGAAAGTGACACTCATGAAGATGTCTCTGCAGCTGAACAAACCACCATTCAACTTCATGATTCACACTTCTCCCTTACAGGCTTCGGAGTCAGATTCAGCTTACAGCCACTGGTTTTTGCAGATTGTTCCTCAGCTCTCTGGTGTGGGGGGGTTTGAACTTGGAACTGGTTGCTACATCAATCCCGTTTTTCCAGAGGATGCTGCTAAAATCATGAGGGAGGTTAACATTTCAATATAGGCACAGGCCCTGGTACGTTCTATAATAATCTCTCCCTTTTCCTTTTAGTGTGAGATTAGAATTGGCCTATCTTTTTCATGAAGAAAATGTTGAGTTCATCATACAATTTGACATATTTGCATGAAATGAGATTGATCCATAGTTTTATTTTGTGAAAAAATCTTTGCCATGACTTCATTTGGGATGTTTCTGGGTAATTCTTCATGAGTAGGGGCTACTTGTTTGTTGGTGATTCTCCTCTTTGGTACTAAGAGCGAGATCTCGCACTTCGAAATCTAATCTACTCGGGATGGATATTGCCTAGGAAACACAAATAAAACAACCAAACTCGGATACAAGACGTCATGTACATGGTGACACTCATTTCTAAAAATTATTAGAGCACAAACACAATATTAACACGTTGATTATTATAGCATACAATTTAATATACATATTTTCTTTTATAGATTGTGAAGATTCAAATGTTTATTGTAGTTTAGGATGCTTCTCATTCATGATCTAAAGTTATTGTCAAAATAGTCTTGATACATCACAAACGTATCCATTTTCTATTGAATTAACAACTTTGAGAGATAAGATGGAGAATTTTGAAAAAATGTTAGTCAGGGACTGCAAAACAAAGCTAAGTTTATATCCATAAATATTAGTTCTCTAAGAAGAAGAAAAAGGTTGAAGAAGCCTAATACATACATTAAGGTATCTCTGTAATCCAGGTTCTTGGAGTCTCCCATTTTTTTCCTCAATAAACAAGCTTTCATCAACCTCCAATGGTTAAATCATACAATATATATTGAAATTGATCCGTGTACATTGAAATTGTTCAAAAAAATAGGATATAAATTGACATGGTGGTGGGTGATAAAAATAGAAGACCCTATATGACCTCATTTGCAACTCATTTCAGCTATTTTGAACATTGAGATTGCTATCATCAGAGCATGTGGAGAAGCCATCTACTGAAATTGTATAGTTGAGAGGCATCCTTCTTACATTTATAACATGGGATTTGGGGGAAAAATACAATAAAAAAAGTATCCTAATTTAAACCAATGGCCTTCTTTCTTCATCTTTTTCACTTTCAATTTGAGGAGCCATTTCATTGTCATTGTTAGCAGGTCTGGAAGTTCTGGCATTTGAAGAGGCTCTGTTTTTGGGCTTGTAATCAGGTAAGAGCTTCAGCGAGATCCCCATGCCTATGAGCAGCAGACCAGTCGCATGTTGTTCGCTTAATGGCTTTGTGAATATCAAGTAAGATAGCAATAATGTCACTGCCTTTCTAGCAGTTGTTATCTGTGGCAGAATTCAATTGTTTTGAGTTGTTACTACTAGGATCGCAATAATTCAAAGTTTAAATCATCTTCTCATTCTTTAAAATCTATGTTTATTCCCTTTTCAAAAGATCCATTCTAGTCCTAGATATTTATGGATCAAAGCAAATGAATAGAAAAGTTTATGACCTAACTAGGACTTAACAGTTGCACTCAATGTGATTCACTGATCATATCTTCTTTTTTGGAATGCTGAAACTGAGATAGCATCATTTCTGAAAATGGTTGAAAGAAAAAGCTAGGACAACATTGATGTAGTGGGCATTTATGACATGAAAATGCATTCAAAACTTCCTACTATTGCACATGGAGGAGTGTCAAGTAAAGTGTGAAATGGTTTAAGAAGTGGATAGTACCATGGCTGTAGTAGCTGCCCCAAATAGGGCAATGAGTGAAAGAACAGAGACTTGGCCGACGTAGGTCGCCATGGCTTCAAAAATTAACACACCGTATACGTATTTGTGCTGCATAAAACATGGTATTCTTAGAATGTGTGTTTCACTTAGCACAATAGGGGATGAAAATAAGGAAGAAAGGGAAAAAAAGGCCATGAGAAAATGCAGTTCTAGAGAGAGAGAGCTAACTGTTACCTGATAACATGAAGTCCATGCTTTAAACAATTCTCCAGTGAGAAGCATGGGTGGGATCAGGAAAGGCAAGCCAACGACAGTAGAACAAAAGAGCATCTCCATCTGTTTGGTCAGTTTGGAATCAGAATCAGCTTTCTTTTCACATGTAACCAACCGTAGAAACAAGGATAGGACAGTGAGGAATCACCTGTGTGGTTTCAGGATTCATGGTAAAGATGGCTTCTTGCAGATTTCCAAGAAATGAGTCCATGATTAGCGCACCCGATATCATGACCACGCCGAGAATACTGAAGTTAGGAGATGTTTGTGCATCTGCTAAAGTGAAGATGATCAAACCCACAACCAAAAGTACAGCAGAAACGTATTCATGAGCGGGATATTTTCGTCTGAGGCCAGGTATGAAGGCACCCATTATCATCACCGGCAAAACCTGAAACATCAAAATCTTCATTAGCTTCAGGTGACGAATAGTTGAAACTATGTACCAAGTTTCTAATCTTTTTCAATTTTTATTTTTATTAAACCTTTGATTTATCCTCTTTATAATGTTTTATTCCCTCCCAGTTTCACACTAGTAATACAAGTTTTGACAGCATGATGCCTAAATAATGTACTTGCCTGAATTACAAAGTTGTGATCTTTCATAAATGCTTTAAAACTACTGTTCAAATTTTGGATGAAATTGAAAGTAGTGTGGCAATGACATGGAATAGAGTAATGGTGTTGGAGTCCCAAATTTTGTTTTTGTTTCAAGTCATTGCACACCATTTTAGATCCTAATTTTTTCCCTGCATTCAAAATAATTTATGCCCAAATGGTAGTTTTAGAATAATTTTGAATGATCAAAGGTAATACTGCACGATATGAGTATTTTTCCTTTTTTGTAATTTAGCAAATATTACGAAGTTGGAAGTACTATGCATACACAACCATCACCAAATAAAAAATCTACCCACTGCATGATCTATATAGTATTAGCTTAAATGAATCCATTGCATAATACAAATGACAGCCTCATAAAAAGTTTACTTTTTGAATTTTTGGTAACTATGAGGACTTAATTGAAAAGGGAAAAGTCAACTCAGAAAAAAGAAATTAAAATTTTAAAAGACCAAAAAAGATGAAACTAAAAATTTTAAAAGCTTTTAGATCAAGAACAAACATTTAGAAAAAATCATAAAAAGGCTAACTATTCAATTCATTGGATGGATGCTATACTTACCGATCAACATAAAATTCAATCACAACAAGCTATCACATCATTTCTCGCTCGAGACATCGGCTAACTATTCAATTCATTGGATGGATACTATCCTTGTTGATTAACATAAAATTCAATCATGACAAGCTATCAGATCGTTTCTCGACACTAGACATCAACTTGCAACGACCCGTTGGTTTTTAGTATCTATTCCAAAATCCCAAACAAACAAAATTTCAAAGCAAATTTACCTTTGTAGATTTGAACATGAGCTGAGCAGGATAGTTAAGAAAGGCCAAAGACCCCTTGGTGAGGCCATGGGAACCCATCAACACAGCAGAAAGCTTGACATAAGTCTTCCAAGGGTTCACCATATGCTTGGCAGTGAAGCCTTGGAGATATATCAGAAACAGATACACAAATCCTTGAATAAATGTGAAGTACCAGCCATAGCTACACCAATAAACACATAATAACATATAAATTGGGGATATGAAACCTCAAACGGCATGTTATATGTAGTTTCTGTCAAAAGGCTCACCTGAATTGCAGCTTGTTATATACATATTCCTAGAAATTAGGCAGAAATGGAGATTCAGTTCACTTAACTTTGGAAAGATTTCATGTAATAATATAATTTAGCCGCAATTCTTTGATTTGAAAACGAAATGTAAGGGAAGAATATTCAGGTTGAATGCCAAAATCAAAGAGTATCGAGTTTTCTGAGTGGTTTTCTTTCCCCGAAACTTCATTTTCTCGAGAAACAAACACAAAATCCTTCCAATCAAACACAAAAACTAAAATTAAAAAAAAAAAAACCGTAGAAATCCACTGATTAGTCCAGCATTTTCTCAGTAACCAAACAGAAAGGAAAACACGAGAAATACCTCGCAGATGCCGTTAACTAAGTAGCCGAAGAAAAATCCAGAAGAGCAAATGAGGAACTGGTGCCATTTAGGCCTATCCGTGAGGGAAATCCCAAACAGAGTCCGAATCTGCTCCTCGTTCTTCATAACGCTGATCTTCCCCCAATGAAAGAGGCGGAAAGAGGTCAGAAACGGCAAAATGAGGAAAGAATCAGAGAAAAAAAAATCGATGGAATCAAGAACAGGAATCGAGCATAACGTTGGAGGGTGAAGGAACTTGCATGTTAGAGAGAGAAAATCGATTGAAGAATGGGTTATAAAGAAACGTAAGCGACGGGGACGGTGGCGAGGACTGGAGCTCTATTCACGTTACACTCTAAGCTCTGCGCTGGCCTTTCTCGTAATGCACACATACACGCACACTAACTCATGAGACAGAAATTAGTCCAAAAAATGCCTTAAACTATTTATTTTACCCCTAATCATAATTATAACTTCTTTTTCTTCAATTTATTCCCTTTTATTTTAAAAATCAGAAGTAATCCCTTTTATTTTTATATTTTTTAATTTAATCTCTCTAAAAAAAATCTATTATTAAAGCGAGAATGTGATGTCACATATTGGTTGGGAAGGAGAACAAACTACCTTATAAATGGAAACCTTCCTTTTAAAGCCTTGAGGGAAGCGTGTGGAAATCTTCTCCTAGCAAACGCGTTTTAAACCTTGTTAGCTGTGGATCTGGATTATGACTAAATAACATGTACTAATTCTCTTAAAATTTAAGGTTTAAATTATACATTAAAAAAATTAAATTAATTATTATATTTATTATTTTTTTCAAAATTAAAAAAATTATACATTTCGCAGTTATTTTATTTAAATTTTAAAATATTATATATAGAATTTAAGTCACGTTAAAACTTAAAAAAAAAAAAAAAGTTTTTTTTTGTTTATTAAATTTGGCTAATAATCGTATTTTCAAGATTTTAAAATTAAATAGTTACCTTGAAATTTCTAAGTTTTTTTTAGTTCTTTAATGATTTTTTTTTTAATTTAGAAAGTATTATTAAAAAAATAATTAAACATTAGAAATTTAGACATATATTTAACTTAAAAAAATATTAAATTTTTTATACATTCAACCCTATAAAATTATCAGCAATATTATTATTATTATTGTTTTGGTATAATGAGTGGACATTTTGACGAGGTTAATAATATAAGGTGCTGGATACAAGGATTGACTCTGACTTTTGACTTTTTTGCGCCACAGTCTATTTGGGCCGTTCGATCACCCCTTTTTGATCCGACGGCTGGATGGAGACTTAAGTATTGTGGGTTTGCGCGTGCTGAATCTAAGCTTTTTTGCCGTGTCCTTTGCACACATGGCGAGCAGGGGTAGATAAGTAATTTAATGCTTCACAGTTTTATATAACCAAAAATGAACGGATATTAATACCATAAAAGAAGATGAAGTAAATGTGGGACTAAATTTAGCTTTTTTATTATTTTTTTTAATTTTTATGCATAGGTATTTTAATATTGACATTTATTTTATTTTATTTTATTTTATTTTCAATATTCAGCAATAATTTTAGACCAACTAATGTTCAATTATAGATTAATTACAAAAATGGTTAATGAAATATTAACATTTCCTCGGTCATTCATTAGTAAACCTCCGATACTAGTAACGTCGGTATTGTGATCATCCATCTCTGATTTGTCGGCTGATAAGATCTTTGAGATTGACTAGCCAACTGGGTAGGTTTGGTTGTTTCTTTTTATTGAAAAGGAGTCACCTTCTTCTAGGTTCGTTGGACAACACGACATTCTCGTTCAAATATAGGTCGATTGTACTTGTGATGGTTTACAAGGATCCAATATGACCACTTAAGTATATGTTGCCAAGATATTGTTCAGTAGAAGTAGGCGATAAGAAATTCAACCCGATTTTTTTTTGGTGTCGTAGGAGAGGGATTGACCTTTTTTAATTCATATTCAACCGTACATGCATGACTCCACTATTTCTTTTCTTTTCTTTTCTTTTTTTTTTGGAGCAAATATACTCTTAATGTATTTAACATAAATTTATTACACACTTTTTTAGGCATTAAATTTCAAGGAATTTATTATCAAATTTAAGTTATGATGAGGTAAAAACAAGTCATTTATGAGAGCTCCTTGTCAAATAAGTACTAAAATACATGCTAAATCAAACGGATAATTTACTTGTCTACTACAACAGATTTTTATCTCATATTCCCTCCTAAATTGAAAACCCAAAACCCTAATTCCTAGGAAAGTACCATTTTATTTAAATGTACATGTTTGAATGGTTCCGATTAGTCTCGTATTATTGTGATAAGGATCCGTACGATCTTTATAAGATTCATCTTCCATATGAAATTCAACGAAATTCAAAGAAACAATGTATCTATAGAATCCCGAGCCCCAAATACTTGAATCAATCAAACGTTCAATTATCTTAATAATAATAAATTTTGACTTATATAAAAAATTAAATAGCAAGATAGGTTAGGTAAATGCCGAGCATTTAGGTTTAGAGTATTTAAAAAGAAAAAAAAAATCTCCCATAGGGATTGAAGAAATAAAATAAACTTTGAGAATAGAGATTATTTAAATAACAAGCAATGGGGCATTTAAGTACTCACTTTTACCTTCCCCAATGACCTCATAGGGTAAACCCAATTTAACTTTTTCTCTATTTCTAATTAATTAATTAATTAATTAATTAATTTTCAACATGTATAACTAAATGTATTGCATATGGTAAAATAATACAATAATATTAAAATAATAATAATAATAATAAAGTAAAAACATATTTTTCTGACTCGGAGATCGGAGAAATATATTTTTTAGACTAAATTTATAAAGAGAAAACGACGTCGTTTCAACAGATTCTCACACACAGCATCATATCAACGCAACCACTAGAAACCAAGCGGCAATCTGCCTTGGGCATTGGCCTCGTGCCGTCCTCCAAGAAGATAATGGCGGTACACGTGGGTCTCAGTTACTTCCCTTCCTCTTCCCCTTCTCTGCTTCATCGTCCTCCTCTCTCCTCCGCCAAACGCCGACCATTTGCCGGTGAGTTCAATTCTCAACATAACCTACACTGGTTAGCTGCAGATCCACTTCAATATTTCCTCCAATTTCCAGTTTTCTTTCAATTACATGTTTCATGGCCTTACCTATTATCTTGTGTTTTTTTCATTCTAAATTTGAGTTTGAGGGGTTTGTGTTCTTTGTCAGATGAGCACTTTGGGATAGGATTGTAGCCTTGTGCATTGCCATTCTGTTCTGTTTTCATTTCCTTTGATGATTGAGAGTTATGTTAATGATGCTTTTCTTATACTGTTTGAGATTTTTTGGTTTTGGTGTTATGGGGATATCAGAGATTCCCGGTTTATATCTGGGTTTCTTTGGATTATTGTAAATTTCGGTATTGCATCGATAGGTGATATTGTCTTCTTTGAACTTTCTCTTTCAGTTTTTCCCTTAAGGTTTTTAAAATGTCTCTTAGGGAGAGCTTTCCACACCCTTATGAGAAATGTTTAGTTCTCCTCTCCAACCGAAGGTGGGATCTCACAATCCACTCCTCTAGGGGCCAAGTGTCCTCGCCGGCACACCGCTCAATTTCTAGCTCTAATATCATTTGTAACAGCTCAAGTCCACAGTGACAGATATTGTCCTCTTTAGGCTTTCCCTTTTGAGTTTTCCTTCAAGGTTTTTAAGATGCGTTTTAAAATTTTGAAGTTGACGATACGTAACGGGCCAAAGCGGACAATATCTGCTAACAGTGGGTTTGAGTTGTTACAAATGGTATCAGAGCCAGATACCGGACGAGGTGCCAGTAAGGACGTTGGGCCCCCAAAGGGAGTGGATTGTGAGATCTCACGTCGGTTGGAGAGGAGAACGAAGTATTCCTCGTAAGGGTGTAGAAACCTATCCCTAGTAGACAATATTTGCCGGCGGTGGACTTAAGCTGTTAAGTTATCCTTTGAACTGCAATGAACTCTCTAACTCTCTAGTGACATGAGTAAAAGGAACTGATTCTCTTTATTGAAGGTAAGAAGGATAACCTTACAAAACAAAATAACAAACAAACATAATCAAAAAAACAAATCAACTCCTACAATGAAAATAAATAGAAAACTACTGCCTATTTAATTTTTAATTGGCTATAAAGTTGCAAACCAAGTCAGAGACTTCAACCATGAGTTGATTGAACTTCCCATTTTCAATGGTTTCAGTTGCAGCAATGGGAGACGATCCTATAAAAGAATGGATTCTCTCTGAAGGAAAAGCAACACAGATAACAAAAATTAGCCCAGTTGGTGGTGGTTGCATCAACCAGGCAAATCGCTACGACACGGATGCTGGGTCCTTTTTTGTAAAAAGGAATAGGTAAGAACTCTTGAGTTCTTATATTTGACTGATGATAAAAAGAAGTGAGAGAAATTATGAGCAGTTATGTAACTCACTCAGGAGCATTGGACCCTCAATGTTTGAAGCAGAAGCTCTTGGTTTAAGTGCAATGTACGAAATGCAAACTATCCGTGTTCCTAAACCATTCAAGGTTTGGAGATTTTCAGTTCTGGGAAAAGCTATACTCTATTATCCAGTCATTGTTCATTCATTAAAGTTGTAGTTCATTCATCCATTGCTTGACTACAAATAAGAACTGAACTTATTTTTCTCATTACAGTTCGGATCATTACCTTCTGGTGGCTCATACATCATTATGGAATTCATAGAATTTGGCTCCTCCAGAGGCAACCAGGTAAGAAATGGACCATCCTCTTTTTCGTTGGAATCGAAACGATGAATATGGCAACAGAACTTCTAAATCTACCCTTTACTGACCTCAGTTTGAGCTGGGAAGAAAGCTTGCTGAAATGCACAAAGCTGGAAAATCTGACAAGGGATTTGGGTTTGATGTCAACAACACCATTGGTAGGTGAGTTCTTATGAATCCTATCTGCTAGTGCTGTAAGTATATGAACAGGTCATAAATAAGTACCATTATCAGCAATTGAAGCAGCGTTTTATAAGTGAGTTCTTATTCTCTTTGTATGTCTTATGTTCCTAGTACTCCACAAATAAACACTTGGTCATCAGATTGGGTACAGTTTTATGCGGAGGAAAGATTAGGATTTCAGCTGAGGCTAGCACTTGACCGGTATGGCGATAGAACCATTTATGAGAAAGGTGAACATTGCTGTTTGGAGAATGGCACTAATGTTTGTCTGGTTGACATTCAACAATATTACTTCTCCAAATAATGTCCGAAATGAAAATAAGATTTTCTTTTAGCAGTATGTTGACCGTGTTTTCGATCTTAGTTTTGTGTGATAAAAAGGCTTTTATAATCTTGCCATGTGTTCCAAAAGAGGGGTACTATAACCCT